AGCTTGTTTATCTTGCAATGCAGTTGGATGCAGGCTGAACAAAACAAACCATTATGGTCATGAGTTACCGCATTTTGTTATTCCATAGTTGATTTTGAATATTTTATCATCACTATGTGGTATTCATGCCACGTTCATTCCACAGGGCCCTCTACATAGGTTCCATCAAGTGCTACATGTACAAAATTCCTCATCCTCTTAGCTCAAGATTGCGAGACAAGGCTGAATCCATTCTCTGACATGGTAGCAAGATGCAGTTGCACGGGTTGTTTTATTTCATCAATGGCAATAAACCCGCGTCCTTTCTCTATAGAAATTAGTAGTATAGAAATAAATAAGTCACATGTGAGCAGATCTGGACAATATGGTGCATTGGCCAAGAGCTCAATTTTGAGGTCCAGGGATATTGTTTTCTGAACATTTTGAAATCTGTGGACAGGTGCTCTGACAGGTGCTCTGACAGGTACTCTGACATTACAATACTTTCTGTTTATGTGTTACCATACAGCAAATAATTTCAAACACAACACTTGTTGTATATAAAAAGTTCAAATCTAACTGAAATTTGTCAAACTGGCTAAAAACTGAATATGTGACGTTAATGTCGGTCCCGGGGTACCTGTACCTCCTTCACGGAAATAAGGATATATCAACATGTATTATATATTTTGTCTTCAAATCTTCAGAATTGATAGATAATTGAATGACGTATCACTGGTAGGAAAATCAAAGGGATTGGTCTCTAAAAAATATCTGTGTAAAAAAGCATCCATTACTTATTGATCACCCCTCGTATATAGACAAGGCATAACATGCAAAATGTCACAGCCTGCCATTTGTTACAGACACCATTTGTTACAGACACCATTTGTTACAGATGCCAAACCCCATCCACAGAAAAGTTGGAGAATATAACAATATGTCACCACTTGTGGTGGTTACAGTGGTGTCATCACTTGTGGGGGTGACAGTGGGACAGTGGTGGTGACATAAAAAGCTTTCAATTTCTACTTCAATTTCAATTAGCTTGCTTCATTGAATATATTATACCCCCCCCCATCAAAAGTTTGGCAACCTTTAGATAAATGTTTTTTTCTCAATTACAGTACTAACCAGAACTCAACATAATGTGAGTATTTGAGGATCCACTTGAGCTGAATATACCACAAGGTTCCATAATACATTGCTGGCCAAAGCTATTTTGGAGATTTTCACATGGTGACTGGCCATATTGATGAAAAATTAAGCAAAATTGCATGTTTTCATATCTGCATAACATGGACTATATCAGCACCCTCTGTGCTGTTTTATGCCATTGTGACGCCAATGACAATATATTTCAATTGCACCCAACCATGGTCCCCTAGCAGCCCCTACAATATTTGGAAAGATTATTGGTACAAATCATGTGGCAATTATTGGAGAGCATCCAGAGATATCTCGAGGTTGGTCAGATACGATTATAACGTCATAGATGAAATATCTCGAGGTGCCACCATACCGCCAAACAAGCTCACGGTATCATGAGTTCTGGATAATATCATACTGATTTTTTAATCTCTTGAAAATCAGAGGATTGTACATTTTCCCTGAATTTTATGTTTCATTTCAGATCAAATTCCTAATGAAGAATCAACCAGATTGAGTAATGTTATTGGAGTGCAATGCAATTTATTTTTATTTTACTTTACAAACATAATTGCTTTCACAATAGTCTAGATCTTTATTATTAAATTTTCAATATTTTCAAAATCTACATACAAAACTAGAAAGAAATGTGGTTTCCAAACCATTTATCTTTTTTACTTTTTTTCTCATAAAAATGAAAAACTATTTCTCTTGATTTAAAAGGAAATTCCTTGCATTTACTATAGGCTATTAAGGTCTATACTAAGTAAGGTAACTATAGCAACAACTTTAAATTTCAATAATCTGAATTTCAATGCTGAATGCTCAATATTTTCTCAATAAATACTTTCAAGGTTGAACAAAAAGACAGGAGAAAAATGAATTGATACATCCTCTTTCCACAGAGATAATTAAAACCAAACTAAAAGCTATATTTACAGATAAAAGATGGCAGAACTGAATGAGCACTAGATTTTATGATATAACATGAAACACAATTTTATACAAAACTAGAGCATGCCTTAGAAATTTTAGTATCATGACTCAAATTTTGTTATTTTAATCATAGTCTACAACGTTGTCAAATGATATTACAAATCTTGATCAACATATCCATATATTCAGGCCCGTAAGACACTTTTCTCCAAGGGGGGTGCGGTTTTTAGCTTACTAAAGAGAATAAAAAAATTGTCATTTTTTTGCCGCGTAAATCAAATCGCGTAAGACAGAGGGGGGGGGGGGTCAGTTACTCCCTATATTGGTTTGGAATTAACAAATGCATGGCAACTTCCAAACGTTCCAATTGTTTTGTGGGGGGTGTGAGGAGTGGTCCACTCCCCCTAGAAAATTTTACAGTTTTGAGATGCTATTTGGTGCTTTCTGGGCACTTACAAAGTGTAAGTTTCTAAGTAGTACGCCACCACCACAAGAATAAGAGTTGAGTGAATAAAAAACCGAGCATTCAGGGAGGTCTGGGGGTTCTCCCCCAGGAAATTTTGAAATTTGGTTGTATTTGGAGCGAATTTGCAACCATCTGGTAAATCAATAAGAAAAATGTGAAATTTTTCAAATTCTTTTGGGGGTGTCAAAGAGGATGAGAGGGTGAAGTGGGGTGGGGTGCCAGTAGGGGAGCAATGGGTTGTCCCCCAGAAACATTGACCATATCAAGGTGCTATTTGATGATGTCTGGGCACTTAAAAAATGTCTGAGACAATACATGAAATTCAGAATATTTTCTTTTGTTTTGTGGGGGATGTGAGGGGTAGCTAACTCTCCTAGAAAATTTTACAATTTAAAGATGATATTTGGTGCTTCTGGGCACTTTTAAAGTGTATTAGTCAATAAAAACATTGAAAAACAATCACAATTTTTTTCAAATTTGGGGGGTGTCAAAGGGGGGGGGTGCCAGAGGGGGAGGTGGCGCTCGGGTGCCAGAGGGGGAGCGAGTGTTTGTCACCCATATCTAAATTTACAATATCAAGGTGGTATTCGATGAAGTTTGGGCACTTTAAAAGTGTCTGTGCCTAAAAGTGCCTATTTCCCAAGAAAATTTTACTATTTTAAGATGCTATTTGGTGCTTTCAGGGCACTTTCAGAGGGTATGAGTCAATAAAAAAAATCTCAATTTTTTTTTTTTGGGGGGGGGGGGGGTGTTAAGGGAGGGGGGCTGCCAGAGGGGGAGGTGGAGTGGGGATGCCAGAGGGCGAGTAAGTGTTAGTCTTCCAGAATCATTAACTTTATCAAGGAGCTATTTGATGATGTCTGGGCAATTTAAAAGTGTCTGAGACAATACATAAGACAAATTCAGAACTTTTCCATTGTTTTGTTTGGGGTGTGAGGGGTGGCCCACTCCCCCTAGAAAATTTTACAATTTTACGACGCTATTTGGTGCTTTCTGGGCACTTTCAAAGTGTATGAGTCAATTAAAGAATTTGAGAAAATCACAATTTTTTTGGGGGGGTCAAGGAGGGGGGGGGGGGGGGTTATGCAAGTGCAAGATGCATGAGGGGGAGTAAGTCCCCCAGAAACACTAACTATTTCAAGGAGCTATTTGATGATATCTGGGCACTTTTAAAGTGTCTGAGACAAAACTCTAAAATAAATTTAGAACTTTTCCATTGTTTTGTGGGGGGTGTGAAAGGTGGTTAATACCCCTAGAAAATTTTACAATTTTACGACGCTATTTGGTGCTTTCTGGGCACTTTCAAAGTGTATGAGTCAATTAAAGAATTTGAGAAAATCACAATTTTTTTTTGGGGGGGGTCAAGGGGGGCTGCCAGAGGGGGGGGGGGGGGGTTATGCAAGTGCAAGATGCAAGAGGGGGAGTAAGTCCCCCAGAAACACTAACTATTTCAAGGAGCTATTTGATGATATCTGGGCACTTTAAAAGTGTCTGAGACAAAACTCTAAAATAAATTTAGAACTTTTCCATTGTTTTGTGGGGGGTGTGACGGGTGGTTAATACCCCTAGAAAATTTTATAATTTTAAGATGCTATTTGGTGCTTTCTGGGTACTTTCAAAGTGTATGAGTCAATGAAAAAAAATGACAAAAAAAAATATTTAAAAAAAAAAAAAATTTTCAAATTTTTTTTGGGTGGTGACAAAGGGGGGTGCGGTCGCACCCATCGCACCCCCCCCCCCCCCATCTGACGGCCCTGATATTTCCTATTAAATAAACATTTACATTATAGGAGGAGAATAAATATTTCAGAGATCATAATTCCTGTTCAACTTTCCATACCTCCGATTACATCCAATCTTTAATTTACAAAAATATAGTTGAGTAATGCGATGTACATATATGTTCTCCTTTGAGAAGTATTAATTTTGTAATTAGCAACTTTGCTATTATGAGGTAATCTAAATAATTATAATATTATAACAGACAAACACTGGTCCATTTTGTCTCAACAAACTTCTACATGAAGTTGTACATCCAGATCATGGAATAGACCTTTCCAATAAATCTGACCCCTTCTAGTTAACAAAATTGAGTATATTGGCTAGACATACTTTGCAGGTCCATGGTTTTAAAAATGAGCAAATTAATGTTCATTCTATGTCCTGACAGTGTAAGAATGAATAATAACTATAGTAGTTGACACGATTTACCAGAAAGATCTATTCCTTTCACAAAATATATCATGTTTTTCATTTTCCACCCTTTGCTATGCTTGATTGTTTCATTCAGTTCTACATCTTAGTCCTCTCTTCGAGGAGGATTGGATCCCAGAGAGCAACATTGATATTCTATCCAATATATGGGGATGGTGTGCTACAAAGTTCAGATTCCAACAGCCACCATTTTGTTCATTTCAACATTTGAATCATAAATTTTGGTCTTATTTCCAAACGAAAAATTCCAATTTGGTTATAATTTCAGAAAATAACGACATTTAGGCGTTTTCATTTGTGGAAAATATTGACTTCAATTCTGGGAGCCAATCCTCCTTGTCCTCTCTTCATATTTCTAATGTTTGCTCTTCAGATTTTGTTGCTATGGTTGTGTAATGTTTGGAATTTGGAATTTATATGTTATATATATATGGAGAATACAGCTTAGTATATCAAATATTATGTTTTCTTTAAACGTTTCCTTTTGGATACACCGTGATCAGAATCTGAGTCACTACTGCTGCTACTTGAGTTTGAACTCGAGCTGGAACTACTTCCTGAGGAGGAAGAATCTGAATCACTGGCCGATTCACTGTCACTAGATGAGGATGAATCACTCTCACTATCACTGGAACTACTTTCATTGTCACTGTCCCTGAAAAAGTGTTGTACAATTTGTGTTAAAATGTTCAAGTGGCAAGTTGTCCAAGAAGTTTCATTTTGTTAGGGAGGGTTAAATCATATTTTCAACAACATTTTTCAACATTTATATTGAGGAATGGAGGATGTTCCAAAGATTCAAGGAAATTTTATTTTTATTTCCATTGGGTAAAGATTTTTGGATCCCAATCGAAGATGGCCAAAATTATCTCTAACCCAACCCTAACTCTAAACCCTAACCATGAAGAATCGGAATTTTGCTCTGCCATTTTACGTTTTAATTAGTGGTGTCAATTAACCGTTTGAGCATTAACCGGTTAACCGGGGGTTTTTACCGGTTAAAGTCGGTTAACCGGCGGGAAATTTGAACTGATAATTTCAAATGAAATCTTCATCTTCGATCTTGAAAGTTGAAAAAAATTGGAAAAATGATATATCGGCGTTTATTTTTTACGTTCGTCAAGCTTTACTCTATTCTATGTAAGTAAGCGCGGGAAAGCAATGTGGCAGGGATTAAAGTTGCTGATTGGATGTTTGTAAGGAATTATCGGACCTATCACATGTATGAGTAGCTCACATGAAACTGACGCTTGAAAAACAAACAGATTAAAATGCAAAGTAAGCGCGGGAAAGCAATGTGGCAGAGATTAAAGCGGCTGATATGATGTTTGTAAGGAGTTATGGGACTTATGACATGTATGAGTAGCTTACGTGAAACTGACACCATAAAACCAAACGGATTAGCATGCAAAATAAGCGCGGGAAATAACAGAATTATACACGGTCAACTAACCGCCCATAAAAACACAGACCGGTCAAGGCATTATCGGCGGTTAACCGGTTAACCGGTTAATACTTGACACCTCTAGTTTTAATCGTGTGATCCTAGACCAATACATTTTACTTAGGAGATAATCTCTAAGAACTATTCTTTATTCTCTGTATTGCTACTGAGATTGTCCCCTCCGTACCAATATTTTCTGTATTGCTACGGAGATGATCAATGGCTACAATCTCAGGAGCAATAAAGATTGGTAGAGCACAAGGACCAATCAGAGGGCTTCATTTTACAGATCATATGTTATTATGGCTCACCTCTTTTTCTTAGCAGCTTTCTTCTGTTGTTTCATCAAAGCTTGAGTCTTTAGACTGAAAGTACAGGAAATAAAATATGAAACATCAGCAAGTTAATCTGTATGTTAACTTACATTTAGCCTTTGTGTATCACTCTTTTAAAAATTTGGAAAATGATTAATATTATGTAAACATTTTTAAAAACACATGTATTATGGATACACCACACTGATATTCTGTTATCAATACCCTGACATGTGAAACTGATGTAAAGTAGTTTTGTAATATGTAGTTGTAGTTTGTAGTTTTTTTACACTGTGGTGACTGATATGTCATTTACATGACATGGTTATCAAGTCAATTATGGAGGGGTGTAAAAAGCAAACTTTCTTTCAAAATCATATGGTTTTTCAACATTCTGAGCAGTTTTCAAGTGATTTTGGCCATTTTTGAGCAGTGACACCCCCTGGATTTTTAAATAAAAAGTGAACCTCTCACATTGGCAAAAGCTGGCTGGGCAGTTCTCATTTGTCTGAAAATTGTTGATGTACAGATTGATAAATAGACAAACACAACTGAGTGAGGAATCTAAATCAGCTCTCTATGCAAGCCAAGAAGCCCAATATTCAAATTTTATTACAAGAACACAAATGTGTACAAAATGTCCCCACCAATGGGTGATCCCATCAAATGGTTATCCTGAAAATGAGTAGACAAGCCTTTACTGACACAATTTGAGGACGGAAAGTCCAAAATGGCTGCCTTAAAATTTACCCAGAATCCCCAAAAATTAGTAAGTTCTAGATTTTCATACTAAGAACCACCCCTGAAAATTTGAAATTGATCCGTCAAACAGTTAAACAAGACTTTACGGACAAGATTTTAGGATGGAAAATCCAAAATGGCTGCCTTGACATTTACCCAGAATGTCAAAAAACTAATCAGTTCTAGATTTTCATACTAAGAATCATCCTTGAAAAGTTGAAATTGATCTACCGAACGGTTCACCTGAAAACACGTAGACAAGACTTTACAGACAAGATTTTAGGACGGAAAATCCAAAATGGCTGCCTTGACATTTACCCAGAAAGCCAAAAAACTAATCAGATCTAGATTTTCATATTAAGATTCATCCCTGAAAATTTGAAATTGATCTACCAAACGATTCACCTGGAAATGCATAGACAAGACTTTACAGACAAAATTTTAGGACGGAAAAAACCAAAATGGCCGATAATAAAAAAGTGATTATGAGTTTTTGCTGATTTTCTTTTACAAAATTATCACATATAACTACTGTTAACAATAACATAGGCTTTTTCAACAAAGTACACCTGAAATTATTTATAAAGCTACTAAATAGTTAAAGTATGAAAACTCAAAAACACCATTCAATATGATACAAAGTATTATCGCGCGCTAACTTTTCTTCAGACATTCAAAATGGCTGACATGACTGGGCTAACAGGTCGAAAACCTCATCAGATGTAGAATGAAGTGAGCTGAAAAGATGTTAAAGTTTTAAAAGCAACTGTGAAGCCGTTTTTCTTAAAGTTTGCAGACAAGGATTTTAGTATTTGACCTCAAAATGGCCGACAGGAAGTAGCTATCGAGTTAATTTTTTTTCATCCACATCTGTATGCACTCACAAGTTATTCCTGAAAATTTGAAGGTGATACCTGTAGCGGTTTTGGAGAAAACTGCCGGACGTACAGACAGACGGATGGACGGATGCGCCTAGGACGACAATATTGCCCCACACTATGTGGTGGGGACATAAAAACAACTTCGATTCTTGCACAGGGAACACATTGACAAGATTACTGAAATATTACTCATAACATTCTACATTATCTTCGGCTGCATGCGAGCTCTCTCATTGATTGGTACTCCCTGAAGTACATAAATCCTATATTATAGGTGATCAAATTATATTCCCATAAGCCATAATTTTTCTTTAAAGCCGAGTTGATGATCATGCAATTATGAAAGATGTATCATTCAGATTAGGTTTCAGCATTTTCATCCGTATTTCTTTCTTTATAATGCTCAGGAATCTTAGTGTTAATTCAATCAGTTACTTTATTAGTAGAGGACAGGGGTTGACATGGAAAGTAATGCCATTGTGCTGACACAAAATAAAGAGGACTAAATAAAAGATAAATATATATAGCAACAGGGGAAAGATTTGTACTTCTAAATAATTGAACCCTTTGGAAGGAGGGGGGGGGGGTAAGGGTGCTCTTGATCATGAAAAAGTAAAAGCAGGGGTTTCGCTAGAATTTCTCACAACAGGCTAAAAAAATGAAAACAATGGGCAAAATTAATGGAAATCATGAATTTAACAAGGAAAAGTTGAAAAGTCAATATAAACAACAGGTGATTTTGTGAAAACAAACTGTAAAAATCATCTGTTGACTGCTTCTAATGAAACCCCAATGTAAACATATCTAATTCTAATTTATCCAGCACAAAAACCCCCAGAAAGTCCTTGGAGCTAAAAAACTACAAACAAAAAGGAAAGACTTGGAAACAAGTTTATACAATTTTTTAAATAACAAAGATAAGAACTGGATTGATTTGGACACAGATCCATATAACTTGGTAATATTTCTTTTAATATTATGGATTGTAAAATTAGCTTATTTACTGGTTGGGATTAAATTTTCTTGGGACGATACCATATTTCCCCCTTGGGGATCCAGGCCCTCAGGCAATATCATATTGTCCCTCGAAATAAAACCCACATTCAATCCAGTCCAGTAAATAATCTCTTGTGTATTCTAGACCATAAATCCTGAGGCCAAGTTGACTTCTTCCTTAATAAATAACAATGAAGGCGATTTATGGCAACAATTCAGCACATCATTAGATTCAAGAAAATAATACCTTTAATGACCATTCATTGAAAAATCGATAGAAAGATGTTCAGTGGTTTTTCTTAGTAGCGAGCAATTTTGAAGAATTTTGCAACGGACTCAGTGTTAAACTTAAAAAGATTTTTCCTGTTGTTTCCAGCTAATGAAACCTCTGGATCTTAATCACTTATCACTTCTCCATAGAGATATAGCTCAGTGTGCATGGGTGCCAATATCTGAAATCTTTTTATTTGGCCATCTGAAATAATTAATTTGAAAAAATTAGTATATTCTGCATATATATAGTGACTTTGCTATTGCTACAAAACTATTTTGATATATTTTACTTTCGTGGCAATTTACCCTATAATTCTGAATAATAACTCATTCAAGCTTGTTGGATGCTGCAATAATTTGATAACTTTATCAACTTTTTATAAATACTGAGGGATAAGTTACTTCAGCGCTTAAGGGAGAAAATATCAATGTGATGTACTTTGCTGGCAATTCCAATCCTATATACTCCGTGACACTCTGACCTCATCAAAACTATTGTAGTTATTATTACATGAACCCATGTGGAATTTCAAACTTATATTTCATTAACTAATCAAAAAATAATCCGCATGGATTAACACAGTTTCCATGGAAACTAAATTAAGAAATGCGGTGATGAAAAATTACAGTGTTGCGTATTGTTTAGTCTTACTCAACCCTTCTGTATATGTTTTCAAAAAGACAGATACGATTTTTGATTATTACTCGATTATTGGTTTGTTATTCTATTACTCTACAGATTTGTGCGATTTATTGCAACCCATCTTTGGTCTGATTAAGTGAAAATGCTATTACATCAAATTATTTTTCTGTTGAGGAAGAATATACGAAAATACAAATTACAAGAATACAAATTAACATGCATTTCAGCAATTTCACTTTTTGCTAGATAATAATGACTACTGAGATTTATTAATTCTTTTTGAACAACACACTTCCAAGAGGAACTTATTACTCACTGTTCCACAACTAGTTACTTCGTACCCAGGAAGTTCATCCATTTTGTTACACTGATGTTCCGTCAAAGTAACTTAAGTTGGGGAACAGTGACCCTAACACCTAAAGCCTCTTTGACCCTCCTCCAATTGACCAAACACCTTCTTGCACAGTGTGCATGGGCTATAGCTAGACTAGGACTTAATACTCATTTTTGTATCTTGATCCTAAATAACTGAACAATTAGATATGAACTAAATTTTGAGATACTAGTATTACATGTACACACAGGTAGAAATAAAATATCGATAGGCTAATTTGTTGATTTCATCAACATTTTTTGTTTCATTACATTATAGTCAAAATCTTAAAATAGGTGAGGAAAAAGATGGGGTAAATCAAATCTGATGAATTTTGGCGAGTCACATAGGCACAGATGAGGTAAATCTGAGGCAATAAGAATTGAAATTAATATTCATTTGTGAAATTTTGGTGAAGCAATAATCCTCGTCTGTCAGTCTCATCCTTGGTTACCCCATACCAAATATAGATTATATAGAACATTATAAGTATTCCTGACATAGCTTTCTCATTGATTCCCCCAGCATTAAAGCAAGTGGGTGCTACACCTTTAATAGTAGGCATGCACCCACCTGAGAATCCATATGCACCCATTTGAAAATGAGAATAATCATGAAAAATATGCATATTTTTACCAAAGGACGATTCTCGGTTTGGAGAACGAAGTTCATCAATCTAAATGAGCATTATCCCTGCTTCGGACAAATTTGATTTTTTTACATAATATAGCTTTAATTGTCTTCTTTTGATAAGTCATAATTTAATTTGGGTAATATTTCTAGATTTTTCGCAAAAAAATATTAGCGCAGTACACTGATGAACTTCTTTCCCCAAATCGAGACTTGTATTTTATTGAATCGGTCTAATTGAGCGTTATCCCTGCTTCAGACCAATTTGTTATTTTTACATCTTGTAGATTTAAATGTCCTAGATCCTCTTTTGAATATTCATAGTTTAATTTGGGTAATATTTCTATATTTTTCATGAAAAGTCTTAATGATGAATTTTGCACCTACTTGAAATAAAATCCTGGGGAGAACATTGCCTCTGATAAATTAATGAAATATCTGGTCAAAGAATTCCTATCATGGGAATGCATTATTGAAACCATTTATCACTTGAAGCTAAAGTCAATAGGGATATATGTACATATAAAAACATTCTACAACTTGCCAATTCAGATCAATCCTTCTAATGTATTTATATAGTTAAATATTTATGTTTTCCAGGGGTAACAGAGAAACACATCTGTAAGTCAAATATTCCCATGATCAAATACAGTAAAACCTGTGTACAGTAAACACCTATGGAACCACAACTAGATAACGGCAACTCCGCGGAGTAGCAAATCCCAAACAAAATATCAATTACCGAATTCCAATCAATTATACTCATTACTTTGGTTGAAAATGAAAAAATAAGATTTTAGAATTGCGAATTCCTGCAAAGCAGCCATTTTGAATTTTCTGAGGTACAAATCTGAAAAATAATACCATAATTTTGATCTACTTTAAAATTCCTTCAATTTGAGTATAATATAGCCATACTTTGAAGGGATCGAAAAATTATTGCGAAATCGTACATTAGACGGCCATTTTGAATTTTACGAGGCTCAAATCAGAAAAAGATACAATATTTGCAATCTACTCTTAATTGCCTTTCATTTGAGTATAATAAAGCTATACTTCAGAAAGATCTAAAAATTAGTGAAAATTTCTGTTTTCCTGTCCCCCCATACATGGCCCCTGGGGGTCAGGATGAAAAACACTGAATATATGTGGAATAGATAAATGTTGTGAATACACTACCAACATTTCAAACAATAATATTAATTACTTTGGTTTAGAATGAAAAATTTATGATTTTTGCGAAAAAGTCCCGTCATTTTTAAAGCGGCGGCCATCTTGAAAAAAATTTTTTTTGCATAAAACTATTCACCAATATACATCTTTCCACGAAATATGAAGAAAATCTGTCAACTAGTATCTGAGTTATCTTCCGGACAGACGGACGGACTGACTGACTGACGGACAGACGGACGGACGGACGGACGGAGGGCTTCACTATATCCCTAACGAACTTCGTTCATTGGGATAACAATGTGTTCACTATAGTTAGGTGTTCACTACAGAGAGGTGATTTTATATAGAACTCAATGGAGGAATGCTAAGGAGGGTTGTTACTAAGACAGGTTTTACTGTATACATGTATTTAACTAGAATAAGAAGTCAACTTCTAAGAAAAATACTAAAAGTGAAGTATGTATATTTAATAATACTTAATTAGAGGGGTTCTCTCATCAATAATGCAACTGAATACAGACGCTTTTTTAGTGAAAATGTCTTCTGATATAAGAGGGCTTCACTGTTGGCCATTTAAAGATTCATAAAGCCAAACAAAACAGTTCTTGTTTCCTACTCCTGCACTTTCAACTTATATTTCGACCAAACAAATAGAAATAACACATCAAGCGTACGAATAATCCATCTGATTTTTAAAAAAGTTTGTCTCCCTTTACATGTAAAAATGTATCCCCAAAGAGTTGCAAAGAGTCCCAGAGCTATGATAAATGTTTGCTGATAATTTGCAATAAAAAAGAATACATATAGAATAATTCAAGCAGAGACAATTATTTGCATTCATTTGACATTGCTTCTTAAAAGAGAGCTTCATCTTCAGTATTTTGTAACTAGACTCTGTGCAGAAGGTAACAGGGACATGGCTGGATCTTTTTCACCTGCCCAGCATCAATGAACAATAATTTCCTTGCATGACCACACTATTGCACTAACCGGTCTTGTAATATGCCTGGTTCAACATCACAAGAGAAGTTTGTTTGTTTATTTACCCTGACATTTTGATGTATACTAGGTATTTATAGGTAACCTTAACAGTTTATCCAGAGTTATGCATCCATCATCCAATTATTAACATATTTCACTGCATGGTTCAACATAAAACCCCTGCAAACCATATCCAATCAAACATATTGAAATAAGACAACAAAAGTGTTCATATACAGCAAGTACATGATGTCAGTATATAAATTATATATCCGAGAACATATTTGAACAAAATTAATTATACTAAGATTTAATCTACTTAATGAAGGGTCTTATGTATAACTTATGGTGAAGTAAAATAAGTTCAAATATAGTTCAATCAATAGTGCAAGCCAAAGGAGATCAAATATACCATTATATAACAAACTGAGTGGTTAGCATATGTTATCTATATTGATATCACAAAGAGATGGGATTAAGTCTTGGAAATTTGAGTCTGAATTAAAACAATACCATCTTTAAAACACTTGATTAAAATCTTCTGTTCTGCCAAAAATAAATATATAAATATTTTTTTTTTAAATCTTCTTAAACATTTCTTGAATATAGTCCTAGCTCTAAAACAGGTTTCAGACCTACATTTCAGATGTTCTACTGACCTCTTGAATCAATAATCCAGGTTCAAAAACAGATCTGAAACAGGAATAGCTACAAAGACAAGCATTCATTACCTGACATAGTGCATCTCCTGGTCTGATACTTCTCCATCAGATTCTGAGCATGATACACTGCAACATTCTGGGCTTAATACCTCCATGCTCAGCCTCTTGTAGGGGCTCAAACAATAAATGGATGATCAAATTGTATGTTTTAAAATCAATCCATCTCTCTGAGCATTTATCAAGATTGTTAATGTTATCACTGGTATTTATCCTAGTAGTCAATGTAACTTAGTATTTGTAACTTGAATTTCTAGTCTTTGTAGATTATTGTCTTTGCAACTTAAAAATCATATTAGTATAGAGGGGAATGAACATATGTTTCCATGTAACTTCATGGCATATTTTATTATCATGCATCAATATAATTCGATCTACTTTTTTAGTCAGATACTAAGCCGTTCAGATTTTATATTTCTGATCAATTGCATGGATGCCTAAATATAATTGATTATCAATTTTTGGATAAGATTTTCATGGCTTACTGTGTTTTAATTTGCAATTGTAATCCTTCAATAATCCTTTAATCCTTCAATAATCTTTTAATTCTTGTAAAATACAATCCTAGATCGGATTCAATGTCACCTATTTAATCCTGATGAGATCCAATAATTATATTATCCAAGGGATTCACCTTCTATCGATCTTGTTTCGATCCCTGTTTAAAACTTTAATAGTAATAGGGTTGAGGATCCAAATAAGATCTTAATGTACCTACATGTAATTTAGGCTCTGACACCCAGTATAGATTTCTACGATTTCCAAGAAATTCGCTTTTCTATATCCAAACCACTCCTAGAATGCGTTTCTTAGCAGCCAAAGGTTCAGATGTCTCGTTTAAATAAGTAATGTTGGGTAATTTTTCATGTAGACAATTTCCTTATGTTTTATTCCCTTATGAAATGCACCATCAATCTTGTCAACATCTTCCATCATGTTCTTCCAAAGAAATGTTTGTCCTTACATTCAGACAATTACAGACCTGGTGTTTTTGTAGATTCGAGAATTGCTCAAGATCAGCAGATGTGAGTCTGATATTGGAATCTATTTTTAATTTCCTTTATATCATCGAGAGTCTCCTTACATCTAATTCTCATTATCTACTCTTGTTTTCTAAGGACTTAATCTCATTCTTAGCACTTCTAAATTGTTAATCCTGTGATTTGCATACAATAAAAGTTCCCCTATACTTGATATAAACTAGATAAGTTCTGCCTCCACAGAGCTGCTGTCTATAGACCTATCTAGTTATATCTGCCAGTTAGGTATAAGATGCTATAGGCCCCTTGCAAATCTATAATATGAGGGATAGTGGTGTTTGTCCTTCAACATCAGACTTGGCTGCTACTTTATGGTAAAAAGTGAACTAGCCCCTTGTACCATGCAATTAGACAGTGTTCCCAATAGGAATTTGCTCATGAGGGTCAAAATTCTCTTTTGCACAATTAATATAATTATAATGGTCCAAATATACCCAATTCATGAATTCTCATTTTCCAATGGGGGCAAATTGACGTTCAGGTGGGTGCAAGCCTCTTTTCAAAATCTTTACAATGATTTTGACATTTGCCTTGTTGCATAATAATTGAGCAATGTAACTGCAACTAGCTCAGGGTGTTCCATTTTCAAAATAATGATTGAAAACATTTATTAAAAACTGTGATTGGTTCTTCTATTAAAAAGAAAGGTATCATGTATTGTTTCATACTTAAAGGCCCCTGGTCTAGTATTACATCATACATACATTATATCACATGTATGTTTACCAGGGGCGTATCAATATCTAAAACAATAGCTCATCCAATTAGCGAAAAATTCGTTAATTAAGACTTTTCTTCAAATGAACCATTTGTACCCTGGGTTATGGTTGTAATATCACAAAGCTTTTATTTTATAATGATATTCTGGCATTTCATTTCCAATGTTTTCCATTTTGGCAAAAATGACAAAATAGTAATTTTTCTCCAAAAGTGGCATTATCCTAGTCATGATGATATAACAAGCAGCATTGCTTTAAATCAATAAATCAACAATAGTGAACTGGGTTTTAATTTTTCTCATACCTTTTATTTACTTGTACTTTTTTCTTTTTCAATAAAATTTGCTTTAAAGGGACCTATTCCCAGCCTAGCCATGATGGTATATCAAAATGACTTTTTATTTACAATGGTTTGCTGGGCTTTCATTCTACATGAAATTATTTTCTCTTTTTTGCGAAAAATAATAAATAGCCGTTCTTTCAATCTGTATACTGCACCTAAAATGAACATTATCTTTACTCGTTTATCTATCTTTAATTTCAAGCAAGACTGCAATTATTGAGATGTTATTTTTATTTATGGCTTGTAAGTATATTTGTATTGGTTGTCAGGCGGAACCATGAAGCAGACAGAATTCTCTCTGTATTTGCTCTCTGTCAACAACAGCAATATTCTCTGATGTTCTAAACATTATTAAAAATTCACTCAGTTCACTTTCCATTTGAAGGTTACCAATCATGCTCTATTATTTCAACAAGAAATAGTTATTTGATCTAATCTTACCCGATAAAATGAATCAATCCAAATACAGCTAACCAATGAGATTAATCAATCCAAATACAGCTAGCCAATTAATCAATCTAAATACAGCTAACCAATGAGATTAATCAATCCAAATACAGCTAAAAAATTAATCAATCTAAATACAGCTAACCAAATTATCAATCCAAATAGAGCTAACCAATGGGATTAATCAATCCAAATACAGCTAAACAATTAATCAATCCAAATACAGCTACCCAATAAGATTAATCAATCCAAATACAGCTAGCCAATCATGATGATTACTATATTCAGAGTATCAGGGTTCGATCAAATTTGCTACCTGATTTCACATTTTGCTCCAAAAACTTCGTAGACGGGAGCAAATGCTTGCTACCTCAAATTTAAGCAATGAATCTCATGTATTTCAGAGGAAAATCTCCGGCTTTCAATTTAGTTAAACATATCAAATGAAAGAATATAAATTGGCCTACCTTGTGAAGACAAAATCTAAGTATAATAAGCAGATAATCAGTAGTGTATTAGAGAAACACTGAGATAATTATCTTACCGTAATCCGGCCACCATTTTGATTGACCTCTCAACCAAAACATAAAACCTAAATCCCTCCAAAGCAGCTGGGCCTGACGAAATACCATCCAGCATCCTTAAAACCTACGCGACTGAATTAGCCCCCCACATCTGCTCAGTGTTTAACATCTCTATCCATTCTGGAGAGCTCCCACCTGACTGGCGTTTGGCACATGTGTCACCAGTGTTCAAGAAGGGAAACAGGGTTGAAACCAACAACTACAGACCCATTTCCCTTACCTGCATATCCTGTAAGTGCCTTGAACACATTGTGCATAGCCACATAATGAAACATCTTGAGGAGTGCAACATTCTTAACACACTACAACATGGATTCAGATCTCGTAGGTCTTGTGAAACCCAACTCATGTTGACAATACATGATCTCGCCAACTCCCTAGATAACCACAAACAAATTGATGCCATTGTTCTTGACTTTTCGAAAGCTTTTGACGTGGTCGCACACCAGCGTCTCTTACTAAAACTCAACAACTATGGCATAACTGGAACTACACATTCCTGGGTCAAGGGCTTCCTCAGCAACAGGACCCAGAGGGTTATCTTGGAAGGAGCTAAGTCTTCCCCTGTCACTGTAACTTCTGGAGTACCACAGGGAACCGTTCTCGGTCCGCTCCTCTTCCTACTATACATAAATGACATCTCGGAAGGCCTAAATTCCAACATCAGACTTTTTGCCGATGATTGTCTCATTTACAGAGAGATAAACAAAGCTACGGACAGCCAAAGCCTGCAACAAGACCTCCACAGACTTGAAACCTGGCAAGCCAAGTGGCAAATGCGATTCAATGCCAAGAAGTGTCATGTCCTCCGCATTAGTCGTAAACGCAAGAACATCATCACTGACTACACCCTCTGTAACACCATCCTCTCTGAAGTACCCTCCCACCCATACCTAGGCTTGACCATCTGCAATGACCTCAGGTGGAATGAACAAACTGGGAATGCAGTCTCCAAAGCCACCAGAGCACTTGGAGTTGTGCGTCGCAACCTCAGAGGGTGCCCCACATCCCTCAAAGAAAAGGCCTACAAGTCCATCGTTAGGCCCCACCTTGAGTATTGTGCCTCAATCTGGGATCCCCATACCCAAAGGAACATTAATGCCCTAGAGCAAGTCCAACGTAGTGCTCTCCGTATGGTCGACAACAACTATGCTAGAGAACCAGGCACTATCACCAAGTTATATGATAAGTACCAGTGGGATAAACTTGACACTAGACGTAGCAATAGCAGACTTTCCCTCATGTACAAAATAGTAAATGACAAGGTAGAAATCACATCTTCAGATTTCTTCACCCCCCTCAGATCAAAGACACGCCATAACAATACTCTGAACTTCACCACATACTCTTGTAACACTGACATATTCAAATACTCCTTTGTACCAAGGACCATTGTTGAATGGAATAAGCTTGATGATACCATTGTAACCAGCCCATCAATAGAACTCTTTAAGAAAGGACTATGTAAAAAGGACTAATCCATTTAAAGTTACATAAATTATCCCCTTCAGGGTCACCTATATATATTTTCTTGAAAAATCCAGGTGATAAATATATAATGATTATGATTATGATTATTGCTTTGAGATTAATGGGTCAGTAGCAAAAAACCTTTATCACTATATTTTGGGTCAGTAGCAAAAAACCTTTATCACTGTCCTGCCAACCTTCAATGGATACTATTATTAACAATTAATTACACATAAACTTGAAAACAAACTGTTAATTAATACAATTGATTTTCTTGGCATCATCTTACATCATAGTGAGGAAGCACAAAAGGCAACATTTGAAAACAAATAAAATATTACAAGTCAAAAAGACATATCAAACTATTGAATGTTGATGTTTATATTTCATTGAGATTGATAATATGTCAGAAAGGAATATTGAGTTTATTAATTTATATCAGAGTGAGGAAAAATGGTTAAATGTTTTCAGAAAAAAGTTTAAAAATCTGCATAATTTATCTGAAAAAATAAAAATAAAGTTTTCTAAAAACGCAATTTTTTCTTATTTTTATTTTTATTATTTTTTATATAAATATTATTATGGGAAATTTTGTGCTGAGATATGCTCAGAATGCACCAGAGAGGGTCTAAATTTCAAAATTTTCTGGGGG